ACCTGGAAATTGAGACTTTTCCAAGAATGAAAGCCACTGAGGGTGGAAGCTGTGGGCTCCTCGGGATGTTGGAGAGAGATGAACATGGCTCAGATGCCAAATGTACTCCTGTCATTGTGCTGCATACCACCTGGAGACCCTTCTTTTTGGACTAAGTGTTCTTCACACATTGGGACATTTTCCAGGCGACAGTCACGCCCAGTTATTTTCCAGGGTCCTCTGCCTGTAAGAGAAAAATCTTAGGCACAATAAAATTTTAAAGAGTTTCAGTAAAAAGCAAGTCATGAATTGGAGAACACCAGACCAAAAGAAGATTAGTGTTTGGATGACCCACCATCAGAGGCAAGTACTTATGAAGAAAATGCAGAAGCAAGATAAAGACATCATTTCATAGGTTACAGTTACAAAATTGCTCTTTTTTTTGTTTAGTTTACCTTGTAGGAAAGACCCTGGTGACATCATCATATGTTACCTGGCTGCTTATGATTGGCTGAGGTTAAGTTTTGTTCGTGCCTAACAAACTTTTACGAGAAATAACTGAACTTAAGTTTGTCTTATGTTTGCAGTTGAAGCAGGATTCAGGCTCTTGTTATGTTCTAACTGGTTTTGTTAGCTCAGGCACTTTTCCAGGTGATCTCCATTTTCATTTTGCTTTAACTGCTTTGCCATTTTGGTCATCCTCTCTGAAAGCTGAGAGTGTGACCAAATGGCATAGCATCACTCTCAGTTACCACTATTGACCTAGTCATCAGGAAGGACAGACAGGTAGATGTTGTTATCATCAGTGGGCACACTGACACTCAAATCCACGAAGCTGCCGTCAGCAATTACACAGTCGGTGCTGGTTTCCTTGAGTTGTCTGACTCTGATGACCGTCATTAGCATGGAGGTGGCTTCTGGAAAGCACTTAGAATCCTGAGAGAATAAATGGCAGCTGGGGAGCAAACGTAATTTCTATAAGGAAAATCATGTCCAAGGATTGAAAAATTCCTCTGACCAAAGATCCCCAGGAGGGAAGATATGACCAACAGAATAAATCAGTGGTAGGTCCAGTGCTTATCTGATTAAAATCTCCTATTCGGTCTCTAAGGTCTCTTAA